GGGGTGGGGTGGGGGTGGGAGGAGGAGAGAAGCTTCCCCTCTCCCCTCGTCTGGTTTTGTAGGCGCGGACGACGACGAGAGAGGAGGAGAGCTATGGACCGGGGGAAGGGGGAGCCGCGAGCCGCGAGCGCTTGGGCCTGGTGCCTGCCTGCTCACGTCGCCGTCTCGAGGACGACGCGTAGGAGCAGCGTGGGCGGGCGGCGGCGCCGTGGGGCTCGCGGGGCGGGAGGTGGCTGGCGGGTGGGTCCGTCAGGGGAGGCGGGGCTGGCGTGTGGGTCAGTGGAGGCGGGCTCGCACGTGCGGCGGGCGTGCACGGCAGGTGGAAAGGGATGGGGATGGGATCTATTTTTTTTTAGACAAACTCGGAAGCTTTTATTAACTCGTCACAACGTTTACACGGACGAAGGAAAGTCCATCCGGCTGGCCTAACCACACATGTCGGCCAGCTGAAAGCGATAAAGCATGCTTCGCGAGTTTGTGAGCCTCGACATTCGAGCTCCTAAATTCATGACTAAAATTACAAGCTTGAAAAGTAGCCTTACGTTCTAATATTTCATGTACGAGTGCTCCATAAACAGTCAGGTTTCTTTCTCTGACATCTTCCACGACCACATTGCAATCTGAAGCAACTTGAATCTTTCGTTCGTACAGATCATCTGCCAGGGAAAGAGACTCCCTGATTGCCAAGCATTCAAGAGTAGCTGGGTCTGGGATTCTCATGAACACCATTGCCGGAGCTCCCAGGAAAGCACCTGAGCGATCTCTGCATATTGCTCCCACAGCTCCATATCTTCCTCCTCTTCCAACAGCGGCGTCCACGTTAATTTTAGCTGCTCCCTCCGATGGAGGTATCCAGTGTGTCGGCCGTGGACCAGGCCTAGGAACTGATGCTGATGGCTGTTTAATAGCCTCCAACTCTCTCAGATATGACTGCACAAAAGAGTGTGTTGCGAATGGGCTTTTGTATATCTGCTCGTGAATTGCATTACGTCGTGCACCCCAAATAGCCCAGAGTGTAACCACAAATTTTATGAACTCTGGTTGAGGGAGAACTTCTTGCATGGAGAATAACCAGTCTTTGGCGTTGTCATTGATGTTTGGAGTACGTGGGGATGGGATCTACTAGTAGTACATATCTACTACTGCGGGTGGGCCGGGCCGGGCGAGATTGCACGTGTGTGGTGTGGTGTGGTGCAACGTGTTTTCTTTTTTTTCTTTCATGAAAGTCACGGTTTTTTTCCGCGAGAGGCACGGTTGTGCTTTAGCGAGAGTCACGGCCATGCCTTTCGGAAACGAAAAAAAACGTGTTTTTTGTTTTTTTTTCTTTCGCGAGAGTCACAGTTTTACTTCCGCGAGAGGCACGGTTGTGCTTCCGCGAGAGTTATGGCCGTGCCTCTCGGAAAGGAAAAAACAAAACAATTTTTTGTTTTTTTGCGAGAGTCACGGTTTTGCTTCCGCGAGAGGCACGGTTGTGCTTTCGCGTGAGTCACGGCCGTGCCTCAAGAAAGGGAAAAAATACGCGTTTTTTGTTTTTTTGTTTAGCGAGAGTCACGGTTTTGCTGCCGCGAGAGGCACGGTTGTGCTTTCACGAGAGTCACGGCCGTGCTTCTCGGAAACGGAAAAAAACGTTTTCTGTTTTTTTCCTTTCACGAGAGACATGGGTGCGATTTCGCGAGAGGCACGGGCGTGCCTCTTTTGAAAAGGGGGAAAAACCATGCTCCCGGTTCGTTTTTTTGCCCGGTTTTTTTCGTGAAAAAAAAGTTTGTCAAAATCTATCAACATGGGGATCTGGTTTTAAAGATCTCGACGCGAGGAATTCAATGGTGAAAACGGTTCGAGATTTGGACGCACGGTTTAAAAGATAAAACGTTTTGAATAAACGAATCTACGAAAAAAGAAAACTCTCAGGTTGCGACAAGTGGCACGCTGCATGTGTGCCAGTTGCCGCGACTTGGAAAAGTAAAGTATTTTTTGCAACGAGTACACTTTAATTAATGATTTTGGTGATTTACTCATGTGTTTTTTCTCAACGGAGAAAAACGTGCGCGTGCAATTTCTGAAACAAGATGGGCCGTTCGGTTTCTTGTAAGAGAAGAGAACGCCGTGGACAGCACGCGGATGCGCACAAAATAGCTCACGCGGAGTTTGGTTTTCCAGAGCACCACGCGGAGTTTGTTGAAAAGTGAAACGGAAATCAAGTTAATATGTTGAAATTGGAACCAGTTGAGCTCCATGTAAATTTGCAGAAACAAGTACTACTAGCATTAGTAAGGGCCCGTTCAGCACACATCCAGTTCCGCAAAACTACATGAGTGCACGGAGCGTCGCTTTGACAATTCCAAGAAAATAGGTCACGGGCCGCTACCTCTTCGGACGCTCCAGGAGCGGAGCTACGGAGCAGAGAGCTGCCAAACAGGCTCTAAATAAATACTATAGACGTCGATCACAGTAGGTCAAGTTATATAACATCCAAACTACGCTTGCGTATTTATTTATTTTTGGTTTCTCTGCTCAATTAATATTACTCTTTTTGTTCATTTTTATAAGGCATTGTAGATACTTCAGACAACTTGCAAAACAGTTCAATTTCAGTCGTCTGAAACAACTTATAAAAATGAACAGCGGGAGTATCTGTTTGTCTGTTCGGCTGTTTGTCCTTTGATGAAAAGCTTTTGCGCGTTTGAATTTTTTTTTGCAAATGTCATGCGTGGATCGAGCGGCCGCATCCAATCTCACACCAACACCAGTATAAAAAAAAATATGAATATGATTCCTGTCCCGTCAGTGCAATAAACAAACCCTAATCATTGGCCATCCTCTTGATATTTTAGGAGGAATCATTCGCGATCAAAGAACCGATTTTAAATTGGACATACACGTATTCCTGTACGGAACCTGTCGCGGTCAATGTACCATTATTTTGGCTACGGTAAACAACAGGTTGCAGTACTTCTATGTAATTATTGCTGGCTTGCTGCTTCTGATGGAGCCACGTCGGCGTTTTCAGTCGATCCGACGGCCAAGGATCGTTCAGGGTGTCTTTGGCCGCTCGTGCAAGTCAAAAGGGAGTACGGTCGTACTCTCACTAGGATGGGTTTAAGCTGAGCTATACCTCGAGAATTATTGCTTGGTTTCATAGTCAGACTGAATAATGATCAGATAGATAGTCAGATGACATCACATGATTTGGTAACCACCGTGCCAAATATTCGTGGCCGCGTAATAGTCCGATGATGATGCCCTGGCTGCATAATTGCCATTTCTTTAAGGATCGTATATAATTGCCATTTTGTAACGAGGACACAAGGACTTTTATGGCTTTTTTAGGGAAATGTCTTCACCATTAGCTTCACTAATTACATCACACTTACATCGTCCACCAGCATCGAAATGATAGAAGTGTGGAGTTGGGTGGTGCTCCGGGCGAAAGCTTGCTGGTCTCTTCAGACCGATGACGGCGACGGCCGTGGACGCCATTGCACCTTCTTGGAGGCGCCGTCAAGGAGTTCACCCGCTGCACACTCTCGGATTCGGTTTTTCAGGTGAAAGCCTATGGCCTGGTTGGGTCGGGCGACGGCGTCGGCATCGTCGCTTCCCTCTTTGGGGCGTCGCCTGGAAGATCTTTGGATTCCGTTCGTGCTCTTCATATGCTAGACGCTCACGACATTGCGGTCGGCAGGTGCCCAACCGGCAATGTGATGGTGTGACGCCCGGTTTGACAATGATGATGATGGCCAGCGGTGCAGAGTCGCGATAGGGCTTCGGTTGTTGGTTCTTACCCGACATGCTCGAGGTCTCTTCTACGTATCGCCATGCCGTCGCGGAGTCAGAGCTGCCGTGGAGTGCTAGGTGGTGACGATGACAAGTGGTTGGTGGTATTTGAGGAGATGTTGGTTGGCGCCAACTCTGCCCATTTCTTCTGTCTTTTGGTGGTCTTCTCAATCGGAGCTGTCTAGGCTTCTGCACCTGCAATCGTCTGTTTGGCATGGGCCGGCATGGGTTTCGGCGTTTGTGGCGACATGGGCTTCGTTGGCGGAAGTCGATGGTGAAGTCGGAGTCACTGGCTCATGAAGGAGTGATGACGATGACGTTTGATGACGACCTCGACTTTGTGGTTCTTCTCTACAATGTTTTGTGTTTTTCTGTGTGGGTGGCCAAGTCGGCCGGTTTTGCCTTGTGTGGGCTGTTGTAATGGTTTTAGTCCGGATTTCCGAAATAAATAGGGGCTGCCACCATTGCCCAAGAATCTTCATCCTATGGCGTATTGATCACCTCTATGGTGGAGTATACGAAGACTGGGGCACGTACGCGGAGATCAAAGCTAAATAGTTACCCTGATTTCGGTGACATGACCGGGGCTACGTAACCCAATAGGCCAAGAGATCGAACGAAGATAGGAGGATAGACTTGTCGGCTTGTTGCGAGCCGTGCTGCTGGTCCATGGGATACCCGTGTCACGCATGGGCGAGGTTTTATC